AAAACTTCCTGGGTGTTGACACCCCCCCCCCCCCCCCCCTTCCTCCAGCTGCTTTAAGGCTATGTGCACACCATTTCCGGAGCAGGTCTGCAAACGCAGTGCAGTGCTTTTTTTACGTGTTCCGGTGCATTTTTTTTAGCTTAAATGGGCTTCCAGGTGCAGTCCAGTGCATTTGTATGCATTCCCATGTGTTCCGGACCAGAGAAAATGAGACGAGCAGTATTGTTTTTTGTCTGGACCGGAACGGACTGCACTGGTGTGAACAGAGCCTAGAAATAATAGGGACACATTGGGATGCTTTTTTGGTAAGGGAACAAACTGTTCTGGTCCGGACATGGTGTAAACAAGACCTGAAGGAGGACAGAGGGGAGATCACACTAGTGGCATTGCAAGATGGAGTAAAGCTGGTCATACACCTATATATTACCTGCAGATTTTCTATGGTCAGATCGATGGATGGAGGAATCTCCCACTGGGGCCAAGCTTCAGTATCTTGCTAGTCGGCCCCGCTGACTCTCTAAATACCTGAACAATGCCGGTACCCAATCAGATCGTTCAGGTATTGTGAGAGCCAGCGGAGCCGACTAGCAAGATACTGAAGCTTGGCCCAGTGGGAGATTCCTCCATCCACACAGTTTAGAGTAGATGGAGGAATCTGTTGCACTTTTTTCATCTGACCATAGAAAATCTGCAGATAGTCTATAGGTGTATGGCCAGCGTTATAAAGTATAATAAAGGGCGTCCTTGCAATATACAGAGATGACCACTAGGGGAGCATTTACCAATCTTTATATGAATTACTGTGATGAAAATATGGAATATTAGGCACATGTGTGAAAGATGCATCAAACATTGCACTGCATGTAGATGTTACCATAATGATAACACAGTGTACCCACTGAACGTATTTTTTTTCTTTAAGCAAAAGCAAATATTTATTTTCCTGTCTGCATGACACAATCTAATGAATGATATACATGAAGAGCATAGACTTACCAAAATCACTGGCACAGTATTGTACCCTCATGGTTTCAGATTTTTGCTCGATTTCACACTGAGTGCAGATCTTGGTTACTGCAATAAGAAAAGAACAATATATCATTATTGTATGAACATGGAATGTTTACAAGACTAGGCCTCATAGAGTTGCTTTATGTTTCACAAACACCAGATCTTTGCTGCAGGTTTCCGCTGTAAGAAAAAATTGGCAAGGACGGCTTGGCTTGCTGCTTAATATATTAGCCGTCATTTACACATAATGCATGCCACAGGCCGTGGTACACACTCCTCGCACGGCTATTGTATATCAATTTACTTAATCTATTCACAGGAGACAAGAGCTGTGCCAAATAAAAGGTCTCCTAACTTACTTCTAAGTGCATGGGAGAAAATTCATCTGGAAAAAAAATAATAATTCTAAACTCTAAATCGAGATCTGTTGATCCTAATGTAATCATTGTGTTGTATGGTTCCTAGTGCAAGTCACGGGCTGCTTGATATAAAGTAAATCATTTTAGAAGTATGGGTTTGTCAGTTACACTGTGCCACTTCTTAACCCTTTATTGGTTATTATAGCAAAGAACACTTGTGTCCTAGCAGAAATATGCCAAGGATTAGTATTTGGCAGTAGTAATAATATATATTTGGGTTCCATGGAAATATATAAAGACAATGTCCCTATTAGATTGCAAGCCCTCACAGGCAGGACCCTCCTTACCATCTTGTCTTGAATTGTATTGTGACTGTAATGTCTTCCTTATATTGTAAAGCGCTGCGCAAACTGTTGTCGCTGTATAAATCCTGTATAATAATAATAATGATGATGTACTACCAAGACAATTTTATTAACACATTATTGCCTTGTCTTTGCCATGGGCACTTTAGTGCCAGAAACTACTTCTATGATACCCTCTTAGGATTCCTGATTAATTACTGCTTTTGTAACTCATAAGGTTTTTTTTTTTTTTATTGAGTAGAGTACAATGGCCAGTAAATACCATTTTGTGCATTTCAACTACATTCGGTGTATATGATAAAGCATTCTAAGGACCACAAAAGAATTAAAATAATTTTAAAAAAATTATTCTTCCCTGATGACAATTTTTAGCTTGAGGCAGCAGGCAGAGTAGCATGGCTGCTCTGCTGCACAATGTTTGCAGTGTGCCTGTCACCCCCTTTGTGGCCAGAGCATCCCAGTTTGCTAAGAGCCAGGGGGGAGATGCGGAAGGGTCATAAACATCTCCCCACCCAGCTCTTAGCAACCTGGGATGCTCTGGCTGGTGACCTGCTTAGCTTCTGGCAACCAGTGACATCACTGGGTGGGATGCCAGGCTGGGCAGAGCACCGGGCAGAGAGTCCCAGCTTGCTAATAGCCTGCAGAGGGCGGCATCACCATACACCCCCAAATCCTGGTTGTGTGCACCACTAACACCCCCTAGGCTAGGTACACCCCTGTTGTCTATATGCTGTATATCTACTATTGTAGAGGAAATTATAGTCCATAAACAAGAACAATTTAATGTGAAATTATGCCAGGCATCCAAAATTGTTTCTTATTAAATCCTAAAAAATGAATCTTTAACCTGAATTCTACAACTTAACCCATCAATTAAAATGGGGGAGGTGTCTTTTATCCTTACAGTAAAAAATGCATACATAACTGTACCTAAGTTTGTGGGTGCCTGAGCTACAGTGGCTGAAAGATGGCAATCCTACACCAAGATCTCATACTGCAGGTATCAGACCAACTGATTTGTGAGTTAATTGTGCACATTGTGTAAACCATGGAAAACACATTAAATAGGATGAAGGGGAAATGTTTAACACTTGAGGAAGCACATCTGAACTGCTGACCATTTTTGTCAATTGAGCTGTGAACAAAGAATGGGTGACCTGAGATATCAGGTGTATAAATCTGAAGTGACTTTTTCAATCACAAGCCAAGCCACCTCTGGTCAATACACGACATCATAGGCACTTGCATCTTGTCACAGTGAGCAGAGCATTTACATGAATCCATGTTGTAAGAAATTCAACCACAGTAAGAGAATAGGACAAATATTTATTGAGAGTAAAATACAGAGTAGTGTGGCTTTGGATTGTGGGAGGAAACCAACAAAGGGAAAACCACACAAGCACAGGAGAATGTTAGCACTTCATGCAGATGGCGTCCTGATGCCAGCACCCTGGTACTACAAGGCTATAATGACAACCACTAAGCTACTGGAAAAACACACAAAGTGCAAACACCAATCAGCGTCTGCATAAGAGAGCCTCATGTGCACACATATGATGAGATTCTTCTGGTGTATAGTCAACTGTGCAGTGTATTACTGTCTATCTCCCACTTCACTTTAAAGTCTATAGCCGATACATGGCATTAGCTGAAGAATCTATGCCAATGACAATGAAGGGACAGAAAGAAATTAAGTAAATTGCAATTCAACTGTAATCAATATTTTATAGGAAGAAAGCAAGAGGTGTTTATTTCCAAGTAAATCTAAGGATTGAGTGTGTGTGTGTCAGCCACTGCTTGCAAAAATGTTCACCTATGTCAATTCTAAAACACTTCTAATTATTCTGTAACAGAGTCTGAAGGAGCCATGAAAGTAAATGCCTATTTTCATTTTTTTAAATTATGGAAAATTTGGGGTGAAAATGGAAGATAAGACCCTTGAACTCCCCAAGCTGTGGGGCTTACGTGACCCACATGCATCTCCCCAGAGCTGAAGTATTCATTTTGGGTGAATTGACCCCTTTAACTTGTTTTTACTGCTCAAACAATTACTGCCCAAGCAACTAATGCCAGTAAAACAACTATTACTTGCATTAAAATGTTGTTTTGTTCCCCAGGGTCACTGTGTGTGTTGTAAAGTAGTCACCGCTCAAAGCTTGCTCCTCTGATGGACTACAATCTCAATTCAAATTAGTAAACGAAACATGAGATTATAGTCCATCACGGGAGTGAGCTTGGAGCGGTGACTACTTTACAACACACAGAGGGACCATGGGGAGCAGATGTAGCCCCCCTCCAGAAGGAAGGGCAGTGTCAGCACCAATTCAGAGATGATTTGAGGATCTACAGCCGAGTGACACACAAATAAGATACATTCTTGTTAATAGTTATTTAGTAAAGGTATTTGAATGCATTTTTAAGATTTAACTCCTCGGTTTAGTGTCACTTTAAGCTGTCCATGCTTAACACCTGAGTCCCTAAGCCTTTGCAGAAGGTAAACAGGGCATATACTGTGTATTAATGTGGGTCTGAGGATATCCAGAAGAAGAGAGGGAATGAGGAAGGGGGCTGTGCTATGAAAGTGACTGAACTAGTCACATTTTCTAGCAAGTTTGAAGGCACATTACAAATAAATAAAAAACACATTTTAGTAGCGTTGAGAAGGTTAAGAATGAAAATGTTCAAATACATTCTGTGCCTCTCTAAGAAGTTATTTTCCCCACCCACCCAATTTCTTGTCCTGGTGTCACAAGCACAGGAAATGAAAGGAAAATGATGTCAACATTGGTGTCCCAAAAACCACAAACATGAGATTTGCCTAGAGTTGCTTTGATGCACGTGCTGCCAGGAAGAGAACATTGGAATGAAGGCCATCGTGAATCCCCTACCTCTTATATAAAGCTAAGGGAATTGATGTAACACTTTTTTTTTTGGCCTGTCTACATATGCATGTGTGTCATTGTGTAGAAATGAAGAGACGAGTACACAGATTATCTTGAGATGTAGATCAGAGTTAGCCGTGATAAGGCAGTGGTTGCTAAGTGCCTAAAGACAGACATGAGTGAAGATATTGGCAGAATGTGCGGCACTTCCAAATGTCCCATTATACTTCTTTTCATCTGATTATTTGATGTCCCTCTCTATTTTCCCTCCAGTCATGTCAGTTTTTAGCATGCAGGTGATGCACTTTCCAAATGGTTACTTTTCTTTACCCGAAATTGTTTATTATATATAACATTATCATATGCTTCAATGCAAAACCTTATGCTACAACATCATTCTCTCTCTCTTCATTATTAATATTTTCACTTCAGTTTTTTCCAAATGATTATAAAAAAAAAAAATTTTAAACAATTTTATTGTCGGAGAAATAGTTAAACATACACAGGTGTACCTTATAAAGCAAAAGGCATAGTATATATACATTAACGGTACATCGACTGCTTGAACATAACTTTGATCACTTTTTTTTTTCTTTCTGTTAACTTAAATTCTACAAGTTTCTTCCGTGTTAAACACAATATGAACCATCTCTTTATTGCGGTACACTTATATCTGTAGTAGCACTCGCTCCTCGTGTGACATTCCGCCGAAAGTCAAGAGAGTATCAGTAACCAACCTCAAGATACTGCATCATAACGTCTGCCCAATTGTGACACTGTATTCCTCATTCTAGTTAGTGTCGGTATCCTCTGAGTACCTGCCTTGGTGTGATCAATATATTTCTTAAAGATCTGGACACTGTAAAGTGGTTCGTTAATGGTGAAAATGGGTATCAGGAGCTGAAGTTGTGTTTTGTTTAACAAGCAATGCCTTATGTAGACTATTTATTAAAATGCCCCATCCATTTTTGCATGGAGTATGCAAGTGGAGTATTGAAAGGGAGATAGGAATGACTCCCTTTCTTGAGGGGTAAAAAGGAAATCTACAAAGGGCATCCATCTGTTAAGAAAGGGAGTCACCTTGTTGTATAAACATTTTAATGTATGTTGTAAAATAAGACTTTTAAACTCCTACTCCAGGATAATACTATTATTCACATCATGTTCTGTGAGCTACATTTTTGCACATACCACTGCACATTTACAGTGTTAACACGGCACATAGAACACAATTGTTCACACCATCCATGTGCGGTGTTCCTTTCCTTTCCATGTATGGTTTGACCAAGCTTTCAGATTAATGGCAGCTTTCCAACACATACTGTACATGCTCCACTGTGAGCACTAGGATCTCTGGGCTCTTCTGCCTTGCAACACTAGGGGTCCCAGGTTCAAATCCCGGCCAGGTCACTATCTGCAAGGAGTTTGCATGTTCTCCTTGTGCTTGCG